TTATTATTATTATATAATTAATATTAATATAATTTAATTATTAACATTGTAAACAACTATATCTTGTCTTGAAAATAATAAAACTCTTATTATTATTGTTCTTACATCTCTATTAGAAAAACATTTTCATGACAATGCAACAGAGTGCACGTGCGATATCTTGATTTTCTCTAACAATCTAGTCAATAGGAACGTGTATGACGTAATATAGTTAGATCTTACGATCACTAGGATATCATTCTAAAGAGATTAACTTTTTCGTTCGATCATCTAATTTTAGGAGGAAACAACGGCGGGGAAAAGACAACAAAAAAAAAAAAACAAATTACAATTTTATTCGGGGAAAAGGAAATGATTTTTTCGGTTTTTTTTCTTACAGTTTTTGTTTTTATAAGGAAAATCCTGCTAGATAACAATGATCAATCAATGTTAATGTTATATGGCTTTTCTTGATCGTTCAATCTTCAATCGAACGGTTCAGATGTGTCGAGGACGCAGTTAGGTAATCCATCGTGTTAATATCGATAATAATCTTTCTTTCTTTTTCTCTCCCTCTCTCGTTTTTTTTCTTCTAATCTTCTGTATATCTTCTCATACATAAGTACACATATAAATTCTTACTATTCTAAGCAGGATTTTGCATGCGTAACATCGACTAACGATAAAGTTTTCATATTCTAATATTTCACGTATAATATCAACATTTTATCTTTGATTTTATTTTCCCCATTATATTTTCTGTTACACCTATCTGTAACGACGTAATATTTGAAGGACTCGACGAATTTTTATTAAAAGGATATATATACACGCGATATAAAATTATATTCGATGTTCTGAGTTTTTCCAATTAACAATTGGAAAACACAACTTTCGGGGAATTTTTTGTAAAAGTAAGTGACAAACAAGCACAAAAGATAATTCTTTTAATTGAAAATAGAGATCAAAAAGAGTATATTTTATAGATCACACGTTTATTTATTTAAATATTTTAAAGAAATTATTTAGACACATTTACGATTAATAGAGGTAAACTTTTACTTTTCACTTTTCCTATTTCTTAACAATATATTCATCTTGACAGTCTTATAATAACGATAAAATAGTGAACAATACGTAGCTTTTAAATTAGAATTCTTGAAAGGTACTGATCACTTTGATAATAACATTAAATTAGATATTTTGTATAAACAATATTTTACACCCTTTTAGTTGGCCGATTGATTAACGAAGTGATCGAACGATTTCCCGTTATTTATCAACAACCACCACAACAACAATAATAAAAAGAAGAAGAAGAACAACAGTAATAGTAAGAGCAATACCAGCAACAATGGCAACAACTAAAATAACAAAGAATGTTAGCGGGAAAACGAAGATGATACCACCGGACGGGGGGTGGGGTTGGGTTGTATTAACCTCAGCCCTTATAGTAAATTTCCTCATCCCCGGAACCGTCAAATCCTTCGGCGTTCTCTTCGTCGAATTCCTTCACGTTTTCAAAGCATCGCCAACAGCAGCATCGTGGATGCCGGCTCTCTGCTATTTTCTCTACAATTCTTTGGGTAAGATAGAAGAGAGAGATTGATTTCTTATTATATGTAATATTATATTATCATTATGCTAAACACACAACATCGGATATACTTAAACGCGATCTATTTACATTGATTCAAATGATTTCAATGAAATGAACACGCCTTTTTAAAATAGAATTTATACAATATGCGTGGGTGTGTATAAATGTGTTTATTTATTATGTAATATCTTTGTCGATAGGTCCCTTGTCGAGTATTCTATCCACCAAGTATTCTTACAAAACCGTGACATTAATTGGTGGCACCTTTGCTGCTACTGGAATGATGCTCAGTTATTTTGCTAATTCAGTTTCTTATCTCTACGTCAGGTGAGTAAAAGAAAAAAAAAAACAAAAAAAAAGAGGTGATAATTTTTATATTTTTAGAAATGTAGTACACGTCTGTGTATAATGTTATAATACGAAATAATATATTATTATGATTTATATTTTTGTCTTATTTTGTAGTTATGGTCTAATGGTCGGAATCGGTGCTGGTTTATCATTTCCACCAACGGTTTATATCGTCACTTCGTACTTCCAGAGACTACGTGGTTTCGCAAACGGCCTTTGCATTTCCGGGAGCGCAATCGGGACTATAGTATTACCTCCGCTTCTTCAGTATCTTCTTGACTGTTTTGGATATAGGTAAGTTGTGAAAGGATAAAAAGGGAAAGAGGATTAGCGTTAGAAAGTCGAACGATGCACTTAGAAGATCAGAAATAGCATCCGATGTAATTGCCCAGTTTGCTTGCTCGCTTACCGTTCACATAAATGCGAATATAATTGCCAGTTAGTCGTTTAGCATTTATTATTTCTAAGACATCTTAAGTGGTATAAGTGATGTCATTAAATAAGCGAACTACCACGTTTTCATGTTCTATATTCGGTGCAAACGTTGTGCAAAAAAAAGTATGAACACTTTTATTTTATATAAATCATTCTTATTATTCAATTATTTATTGTTGTTGTTGACTTTAATTATTTTGTATTATCGTAGAATAAAGTTCTAGTTTTTGAAGTTATATACTTCTTTTGGCGCGTTTTGGAAAGTGAAGTTAGATGCGACCGAAAAATCGACACCACGAAGTTGTCGATATTTACGATGCGCGGGAAAAAAGCGATTTCAAATTTTTCTTTCTCAAGCGGTCACCCCCCATCCAAATTCTAATTGTACTCAAGCGTTGCTTGACTTAAATGATCGAAAGCAGGAACTAGTACTGTCACTGTGCTATGCCCGTTGACGCATGAAGTAATTTGATATAACTCCTTTATATTTAGTATGGACTGATATCTACATTTTAATATTTTTGACCAGGATCAGTATATATTTAAATTTCTGTTAAAATTTTCGAGACGCCTAAAACTAATGCAGAGAAATGTAAAGAATATCATCTTCGTACTTCGTAGGAAGAAGAATAAGGAAAATAAGGAAAACAAAACGCAAGTTAATGCGGAACGTTGATTGCACAAGGATATGAATTTTTTAAGTTATTTTTGAAGTTATTGAGGTTATATTCGTTTTGATACGCTAAAGAAGTATAATTTCTTACGTGCGTACATAAGTACACACACCAGTTTTTTTTTGTATTTTTTCTTTTTATTGATTATAAAAAGAAACGTAACGTTAACGAATATTTATTTTTCGTTATTCCAGAGGTGCGGTGCTTATCATGGGTGCTTTAACATTGAACACACTCGTCTGTGCATTACTTTATCATCCAGTTGAACAACACATGATTGCAGTTCCCATTGAAGAAGGAATCGATAACGAAGCTTTAAGTTTGGACGAACCGATCGAAACGGCAAAATTGGATTACATTGTCCAAGACGAGAAATCTGAGAAATTAGATAATACGAGTAAACAGGTGCAAAATTTAACAGAATTATTGAATTATTCAACCTCGACTATGTCGGGCAAAGAAAAAGGATCTGAAAAATTGACCAAATCGGACGAGGAAAAAGAGAAACAGGATCAATGGATCGTCAAGGATCAAATAATGAATGTTGGAAACGAGGAAGACGACAAGGTGCAAAAGAATGTTCAAAAGAAATCCGAAGAAGAAGAAGAAAAGGAGGAGGAGGAGGAGAAGGAGGAGGACGTTAAAGAGACTACGAGTAGGAATGATGGAAAGGTCGTTGATAAAAAACAACTCATCACGAACGAACCGTTCAATTCTCGTCAAATCAATACAATGTCGGATAACGGTTCTAACGTATTAGGACTATCGATAAAGATGCATTTCCAGGAAGACAACGAGTCCGTGAAAGTGGATAAACCCGTGCAAGTAGAAATGTCGACGTTTAAGTCATCCAAATTGGAAATATCGTCGGTTAAGGAAAAGAGTAAAAAAAATGTTCATTTGTCACTCGATTTCAGCATGTTAAGGGATCCCATATACCTGGTCATTCTAATTTCAAACTCAACTTCGGCGATCAGCAACACAAACTTTATGATACATTTGCCGTCTTATGCTAACTCTCAAGGATTCGATCAAAATTCATCGGCCCTATTGTTGTCCGTTGTTTCGGCTCTTGATTTGATCGGTAGAATCAGTGGTGCTTCCTTGTCAGACATAGACTTCGTACCGAAATATTATTATTTCGTCGGTGGTCTTGGTACCAGTGGGATTGCACTGGCGTTACTACCAATGGCCGACAGTTATGGGATGCTTTCCTTCTTCTGTGCACTATTTGGCCTCTCTTCCGGCATGTACATTGGCATCACGACCGTTATCCTGGCTGACATGCTTGGTACCGAGAAACTCAGTTCCTCATATGGAATCTCGTTGTTCGTTAACGGTGTCCTACAACTAATCGGACCACCTATTTGCGGTGTCGTCTTTGAACACGTTGGATCTTACAAACCAATTTTTTTGGCATTCGGTATAATACTTATACTGGGCACAGCTCTCTGGGCTTTAGTCCCTTTGATAAAAAGGAACAGTAAAAAGAAACTCGAAAAGGTATAACGATTATAATAGGAAGTGTTTTATTATTATTCGAACTGATAGACATCTCACGAATGATAAGTTAATTATGATTTTATGTTTTCATTACTCGTTCGTGAAATTTTTGTGATTACATCATTCCAAGAAAAATATACAAAATATGTTCGTAGTTCAAATAAAAACTACGAATGGTAATAAAAATACAATTAAAAAATAAAACAACAACAACGACAAATGCAGGGACTACGTGTATATATATAAGAGCGTAATTAATATTACAATTTACTTATATAGATAACTCACGCGAATTTCTTGAGCATGTCACTCTCAACATTTGTTAGAGATGTCTATGCTTGCAATCAGTATTTAGCGAATTAGGATTCACCCGAAGAATCGTTTTTATTTTCGTTAATATTGATACGAAAAAGAAAACGATTTCAATCACAACGTGCGATTTCATTTTTAAATTATCGTTATAGTCATTCATTGATCATTGCAAGTAGTGGACTGCCAACACGGAAAATATAAAAACATTATAATTTTTCTAAGACCAATGTTAGTGTGTATGCGTTTCCAAATATACAAGAATTTATCAGGCGGATCGTCGATGTATTATTCTCTGTCGTTCGTATATAATTATGAGATTGTTTCTTTTTTTTTTTTTTTTTATTTATTTTTCTAATCTTTTTAATCTTTATGAAAGATGCGTCGAGCTGATCTCTTGCTCTGTATTCTGAGATTAGTAGTATAGTATATTCATAGTATCTTTACTCTAATTAATTAGTCACGTATATTTTTTTGTTTTTGTTTATTCATTTGGTCAAACAACCTAAACGAATGTTTCATTAGAAATGATTGTCGTTAGTTATAGAATAGGTGGCACAAATTTTCATAGCTCATTTTAATTAAATCAAGCTGATAAGACGTTAAATCAAATGAAGAGAAATCGGTTGCAACGTGTTGCGTTAAAAGGAGAAAAAGAAAAGGAAATTATTTAGTGACGAAAAAAAAAAAGAAATTTTGTTTAACGTTCGACGATTTTATTTTATCTTTTTTTATTATTTTTTTTTTTTTTACATTAACGATTCACACCGATGCTCCGAATTTTCTGGGTATTCGTACATATCTAGTCACGCCTGTGCGAATGTACAAAATGCACGCGCGAGCCACCTAAAAATATTTCTTATTACTGTAAAAGAAGAAAGAAGAAGAAGAAAAAAAAAAGAAAAATCATCGATGAGTGAAAACGCGTGGGAGAAAAAGGTGTGTTTAAAAAATGAAAAAAAAAAGAAGACGTGTTGTAAACGTTTGTGGACTCGACAACGTGAGTGCTTAAGCTACAAGGGGCGTGTTGTCATAAATAGTTCTTCGCACTTGGATTATTCGCTTATCTGGTAAAAGATTATCCGAGAAGACATTGTATGTTTATATATAGCGGTGTGTGACGAAATATGAGAGGAAAAGAGATAAAAAGAAAGAGAGAAAGAAAGAGAGAGAGAGAGAGAGAGAGAGAGAGAGAGATTATGCGTTCGAGTAATTTAGTAATTCATTAATTATTTCTTTATTCCCGAAGCGCTTATCTATCTTGCTTTAATTATTATTATTATTAGACACGCAATTGCCATCTCAATTAATAGAAATAGTTATAATATTGTCTTTTGTAATAAAATAAACAAAAAGTATGTTAAAGAAAGTAAAAAAAAAAGGAGAGAAAGGAGGAAAAAAAAAATAGAATGTTGGTACACGTTCATGAGTTTTAAATATGCTGTCTACCTCAAACACTAACTGTTTTCATTTTTAAGCCCACTTACATGATGCAAAAAACCTCAACGTATCATATATATATATGATAGTTATTATAGAACGTTAGTTGACATTTTGAACAGTATTGTCAATGAAAAGTATAACTATTGTAAGTAGAATACCATATTCGGCACGTTGACTACCATTACCGCCAGTTTATATCGTGACTACTCAAATCTCAGTCTGATCATTTTCAGTACTTACTACTGCGAAACATTCGATCCTTCCGATTTCATTTCTGATCATCACTTAAAATCAGATTTGTTTTACGGAGATTTATTATTAAATGGAGAGAGAAAAACGTAGATGAAAATTTTCTTTATCTTTTTGTTCTTTTTTGTTTGTTTGTTGTTTTAAACGATAAATTGAAAAATTTGTTGCTGAATTACATAGAATCATTACGATAAAGAAGTTTAATGTAATATCATTCTAAGAAGCATATAATACTACTGTACATTTGATATACTTGTTCTACTAATATTTATGACTTACTCTTATTATTACGCTATTTCTACCAGTATTTCTTATGGTATAATCTCATTGCCTTCTACACACAAGCTTACAAATAAATCCTAATTATAAACTTTTGTATCATCTAAATTATCTATAGATACACATTTTGGTTTGTATATTATGGAAACTTTCATTCTATAATATTTATATATATATTAATCCAATTAATAAATACAGTAATACGAAAATAGCAGTAGGACGAATACTTTTAAACATATAGTTATGTTTCTCTCTGTGTTTAAGTCTTTTTTATAATGGAGCATAATTATTACAAACATATTATACATACGTAGAAATACATAGGTGTACGTATATAAGTAATTTAAATAATTATGCTCGTTTAATCGTCAAGTTGATTTATTTTTTTCTTTTTCTTTTAACGATACATTCCGATTTGTTATTGAACATTTATCGAGGAACGTATGTATTATCATAGCTTATTTGCGCGCATAAATTCGAAGATTCTTATCAATTGCATTAAATGATAGTATCTAGAAGACCTTAAGTGTTAACTTACGTGATTAACGATTAGAAATGATTTGCTTCTGCGCTTCATTTTCTTTTTTTCTTTTTCAATTTTTCTATAGGATATATTTTTCAAAGATCATAATTGATTGATTACGAGGTTGCCGTGTCTCTGCGACCCGTGAAAGATACGATTGATCGAATACCCTTTACCGATGTCTGTAATCAATAGATTTAAGAAGAAAACATTCAATTAGAATTAATTGTAGAAATGAATATAGTCGGGTTTTTTCCTCACCTTCTTCTTCGAACCGTTGAGGAAGTCTTTGTACATCTCGGAACGAAGATATCTCGAATAACTATCGCTTTTCATTAAATGATAAACGTGTGCCTAAGAGGAAAAAATATTGGATTTCTTCTCTTTCTCTATCACATTATTTTTCTAATAAAATTAAATATATCATTTTCGTATAATAAAAACAATATTAGATTGTCTACGAAAAGTTCGCGTTAATTTACACATATTTCATTATGAAATATTTTTATTTATTATTAAAATCTCTAAAATAAAGAAGTTTATTATATTTTTAAGAAACCTTTTTTTTTTACAATTTTGATTTCTCGTCACATGTCGTGTAGGATAAATCAAAATGAACAAGTTAATAAACTATTCGTTACACGAATCGATTTTTACGAGATCGGGCTTGTCAGGTCAACACTCAATCTTTATTAATCGCCTTTTACGACAAGCAAGGGGGATACTGTGAACATATTTTATTACCCTTATCTACGGGGGTATATTTAATATAAATCAAATAATAATAAATAAATATATTTTATAAAAATATATATATATATTTAGTATCTTTTTTTCTATTAAATTAATTATTAAATGTAATTAAAAAAAAAATTATGTTTATTTATTTATTTAATTAACTTTTCGGTCAATCCAATATATTAAAATTATGAAAAGAAATGTTAATAATAAATTGTAAAAATAATAATACCGCAGCTATGTCGAAGCACCAACGATCAGGTTTCTCAAGATTTCTTTTTGTTATTTCGAAGGACCTAGAATCGACGTTAATTGGACAGCTTGCATCTGGGCCCAAAAATTCGTTCCAAATTTCTCCAGCCTTAACGTTAACATCTTTCTGCGGGAAAGTTTTCAATTCCTGTACGGTTTCCCAAAATCTGCACAGAGCAGAAAAATCTCGTCTGCTTGATACGCATTCGTTTTCGTAACGAAACACAACAAACATACACGCAAACGCACGCGCCCTCGCACACGCACACGCAAGCGTGCATAAAACATTTAACGTGTAACATTTAAATATATTCTAAATGAACGATGAACACGAGATTTGTATATTTATATTCTTACTTGAGATTTTCACTGCTGAACTCTTTCTCCAAAAATCGTATAAATTGTTCTCTACCAATCGGATCCTGTAACAATTCCTGAAGACCAAATGCCCATCTTTTAACTCTTCTCGTAGACACTTCTTTCCTATTTAAAAAAAAAAAAAAAAGAAAAATAAGCTCTTATAAATTTGTTATTATATTTAATAATTATATATCCACAAAATATTTTATATCCAAAATAATGATATATCCACAAAATATTTACGCTATTTTTTCTTGTTCCCACATTTCCGAACTATCCGATACCCACGGATTAGTAAATTCAGGTTGAGTAAAAAATGGATCATACTCGGCATACTGTTCGAAATATCCGATAAGACTGAAATTTTGTATTGTTGATAAATTAATAACGTTGTGTAAATATTTGAAAAATGTTTAAATCGAACTCGTAATCAAGGAAATCAATTAATCGGTGTGTACACGTATATTGAACTTACGCTTCCGCAACTTTGGATACTTTGATGTTTCTTCTGTCCAACCTATCTTTCAACATGTCAATCTCCTTTTGGACAGATTCTATCGAAGCTGCTAAATGTGATTCCGAATGAGGAGAAACCCTTTCACCAGTGATCCCAATTTTCAAATGTTTGTTCGATCTGAAGGTTGGTTTTTGACTGCGGCATTCTTTCTTTATATCGAGTTCTGTTGTATTTACACAACCAGGCTGTAATTACAGTATCGTTATGATTCAATTGGGTTTTAAAATAATACTAATAAATATTGTTTACAAAACATAAATTTTCATTTCTTTTTGTTTATATTCCTGTAAACATATAAAATCTACAAAATATTTTGTTAATGTTGAAATTATTTACCATCGGCCGATGTACATCCCAGAATGCCCTTTCCTGACTATCCAACACTTTCCTTTCCAGTTTATCCCTCTTTTTATCGACTTTACTTTGTGCTTCCGCTTGCATAAAAATGAACTCCCACTTTCGAGAAAATATTTTCTGCAACCTAGCTAAATTCTCGGCCTCGTAATCAGCTAATTCAAGACGAGTTTTATTCTGCATCGTTCTTTTGCATAAATAAACGGCTACGGATTCAGAAAGAGAGAGAGAGAGAGAGAGAGAGAGAGAGAGAGAAAGGAAAAAGAGAAAAATATGTGGAATATTATTTAATTTACTCTTTTATAAAATATAAATAAAACACACAAGTAAACGAATATAAATAATATATTTCTTTTACCGTAATCAGTATTTTCTGGTTCCCAAGAATTAGATGGCCAAAAATAAGGTGTTTGAAATCTATAGAATGTGTTATCATTTTTAACGGTAAGACAATGATCGTCAATGGGGAAAAAATAACCATGAGATGCCATGAGATGTGCCACGTGAAGAGATTCTATATTTAAAAATGATGAGATAACAATTAACAAATATTTTTCAATGATTTGCATATATATTTATATTATATACTGCAATATATATATTTATAGACCTTGATCATCGATATCCATAGTTTTCATCATCCAAGATATCAAATCGGAACCTAAAAATTATCGTCAAAGTCAAAACCATGGCTAACTAAATCTATGAATCTTTTTTTCAATACGTTAGAGATTGAATTTACCCGTAAAAACGGATGGAGTTTTCGTCATGAAACTTTTAACTGTTTTAACAGGAACACCTGTAGCTTCGTTTAACATTTTTTCCACCAAAGATTCCATCTAAAATGTGAACGTAAATAATATTGCAACCAACGAAGTTTTCTTATCAAATATTATTCAATAAAACTAATATTTTTCGTAAACATTAGAAGGAACAAAATTTCAATTCTTTTAACATGAATTCTAAACGCGAATTTAGATTCTTGAAAAATCGATTGGTTAAAATGAAACAAAAAGATATTGCGTATGAGATACCTTTTTATAGACGAGATAATTTGGTGTATCTTCAGCGCAACAGGCAGTGACACGATGCGTGGGTGTATTCTGTTTTTCAACATTCTCCTCGGTACGATTATTATCTTCCCTTTCTCCAGTTTGATCCGAAGATTCTCTCGTATCATTATTTTCAATTGGTTTTCGGCGGGAGGCCGACTTTTCGGAGCTCATAGTTACCATATTATACGCGTTAAGATAATAACACCATTTCACAATCTATTACATTGAACATTTTTAACATAATACCGATTTTAACAAATACCGATCAGATTATTTCCAAATATTTGATTTAATAAAATCTAATTTCATAATAAAAAGAATAATAATAATAATAATAATAATAATAATAATAAAATAATGAAAAATATTTGTTAATTTTATTTCTAAGGATTTTTTATTATCGATACTAACGATTCGTGATGTAAAACACTGGAGTAGTGGCTCTCGTAGTTTCACCGCGCGCGCATTGCGGTCGTCTAAAGGCTTTTCTCGGATAAAGAAAAGTAGGCTCAACACTTTTCTTCTCTTCTATTTTTATTAATATTATTTTTATTTTTCCTTCCTATTCGACGTTAACCGTAGTTCGATAAAACGATATGATCGATCTTCTAATAAGACGCATTTGAAAACTTCGCATCATCGTTATTCTCGTAATCCTTGATTTCAACGATCTCATTTTCTCCATTATCATCTCGGACTTTTGATTTTCTTCTTTTTCAGCAGAACGATAACAAGATCCTGTTGATTCTAGGTCACCACATAGGAAATAATTAACGTAATCTTTTTTCGTTGTTACGTAGAACGGAATTAGTAGACACGCAAACGTAAATACACGCGCAAGTATATACACACAAGCACGACAAAAAATAAAAGTTAAATGATTATTATAAAACGAACTCTTAATATATATATATATATATATATATATATATATATATATTTTTCGAAGTACACTGGATGATCCAGTATAAGATGTTAAACAACAACGTGCGAACGCGTATGCGTTAAAGGGGTGAACAACACGAGGGATGCACTAAATAGATAACTGTACTTAGCTGACTAATCAATTAACCAACTAATGCATTTGACCGAAAGACGAGAGAAAATAAAAAAAAAAAAAATATTTATATAAAAGAAGTATACGGAGTAGTAGTCGATTGTACGAACGTCAAAATCGAACTCCTGAGTTGTCTTCTGGTGATCACGAACACGATGTGCGTGCTGCTCGTTCACTTTGCGACTGCGTGCTTTTCCTACGAACAACGACGACGAAGCAAAACTGCTGCTGCTAACACTGTGTAAATGTGTAGAGTAGGAAACGGAGGAAACAGGGGATCCCAAGTGGCACGGATATCGGCCCTTTACACGCTCCTCAACCTACTACCACCTATTATCGATCACTTTTACAAGACCAAATCATCTTTGAAATCCTTCGACCTATTTCTGTCTTGTTATTTTTCAAATTACTTTCTATGTTTCTTTCTCTCTCTCTTTCTCTCTCTCTCTCTCTCTCTCTCTCTCTCTTTTTCTTTCATATCTTAGTTTATTTATCAAATTCTATTAATACATTGTATGCGGAATACACGCTAATACGTTTTTCACATATTTTTTGTAAGACACATTTTTAAATTGTTGGCTAATATTCAAGATAAATATTTGTAGTGGTATCACAACATTATCAAATATTATTATCACAATTTAAAATATTATATAAACGAAATATACAAAGAATTCTTTGAAATTCTGTTCGAATGCAGTTAAGTCAAAAATAGCCCGCATACAATGCATTATATGTTGTATTATATTTTTATTTTATTTTCTTTTTTGTGTTAAAATTATTTCAATATTCATACATTTCAACAATATACACAGATAGAGTTTGATTATAAAAAGTAAAAAAATAAATCGAGCCTGTGCCATTAAGTCGCCTTTATTATCTTGCATCTTTGAATTCAATAAAATTCTCAAACTCAATTTTCTCTTTCTCTCTCTCTCTCTCTCTTGCTTTTTCGCTCGCTTTTATACATTATGTCATATATAATTCTGTTATATCATTTATTACATCATGCAGCACGATTTTCATTCTAACATTTCCAAATCTTTTATTTGTTAATCTATTTTATTTATTTATTTTTTTTTCTTAGCACATATCTTTCTCTCTCACTCGCTCTTTCTCTTTCTCTCACTCTTTCTCTTTCTTTCTCTTAGTACATACATGGTGTTAAATATAAACTTATCCTACACGCACACGCACGCCTCTTCACGCACACACATATACGATTAAAGTAAATACAGAAACCAATGATTAACAATATTGTTCCCAATCGTTTCTTTGAAACGTATTTGTTTTAAAGCGTAATTTGGAACATTTGCGAACGGACAATAGACAATCCACGAAATTTTTTCTTTCAAAAATATATATACACATGTGTATTTTGAATAATAAATTGTGATCAAAAAGGGACAGATCATCATCATCGTACTATTGTTTCCACTAATTTTTGTATCTGCGTGGTGCGAGATTCATCACAGACATCATAACAAGATATAGAACTTAAATATTACAAATATAGATGCCAACGAATCAATCCGTCGTTAACTCATTTTTTTTCATTTGTACAACCCCAATCATCTGCTGAATAATAATTCACATTTGCATAATTCATATATATTTTATAGTGTACATATATACACATCCACTATTTCGATGAATACATAACAATGGATAATATAGGGTATCTAATTTACAAGCAAATGTAAATATTCATAGTGATTTTATGCAATGTCAATTATTTTCAATATCACCAGCAAAGAAAAAAAGGCTGAAGAAAAAGAAAATTATTAAATACATGTTCTCGTATAAAAAACAAAACCGTAATAAAACTCTCCTCCTTGCGAAAGATTTTTTAAATATCAATATTTATATGGTATCGTTTATGTAGTCATATTGTAAAATATTTGTATAGATTTATATTGTTGTTCTTGTAGTAAAATCAAATTCCATTATGGCATAGAATGCAGTATTAATATTAAAAAGTAAGAAAGTTTAAAATGTTTTGATTAAACTATAGCTCTAATCGTACAAAAGAGCAAAGTTTTTATATCTCTCGATGATCTACATACATTTATCCAAAAAATACAAGAGCGTTTATTTATATATATATATATATATATATTAGATTTTTACTTATATACAATAAAACGTATTATGTCAAAGTTAAGATCTTTTTTTTAAAGACAATAAATAAAAATTCAAAGAGAGTTAAGCACATAATCGTAATAATAA